TGCCCCACCTGCAGCACCAAAGGCCAATTAGTATTTCTATTGCATCCCTTCCCCTTGTCCGATGGGCAGCCTCCCTGCCTGGGCTCTCCACCTCTAGCACTTTACCATCTCACGATAAATTTGTCTTCTGTATGACAAGGTAATTATGAGCTTGGGGGCAGGAGGCTCAGGGACCAGTCTTGAGGATAGTCACTTCCATCTGGTTCCGCTGTTTTGCTAACATTATTGATTTTTAGTTTATTATTATGATTTTTTTTTCTTAAAAATTGGCCCTGGTGACATGAGGTATGGAGTGAGTGGGCCAGAGTAAATTTATTCTTGTCACAGTTTAGCTTTTTGAAACTTAAAAATACCCACCTACCTGGCATTTAAAAAAATCTACTACTTTTAGCATCTTTGCTTACTTCTTTTGTTTCCTTTCTTTTTACCACCTTTCTTGCCTCACTCCCTTCTTCCCTTTTCTCTGTTTTGAGATGAGGTCTCACCATGTCACCCAGGCTGGCCCCCGACTCCTGAACTCAAGAATCCTCCTGTCCCATGAGGCCTCCTGATAGCTGGGAGCACTGGTCCCCAATGCCACAGCTCAGCTGGGGCTTGTCTAGTTTCATTCTGTCTCCAAAGTTTCCCCAGAGATTCTATTTGGAATTGGAAGCAGATATGGATGGCTGCCGGAAGGAGGCTGGGAAGGAGTGAGAATGGCAAGTACATTTGTTGAACAAATGTTTATTGTATCCTCATTACCTGTCTATTGCCGCTCTGTTCTCCAGCTTCCTGCTTCTCTTCCCTGCTCTCTTGTTCGCATCAGTTTCTATGGATATGAGCAACACCTAACCAGGAAATCTGAGGGGAGAGATTGAGACTGGGTGCAGCCTGGCTACAGGTCTACCATTAAAGCACTCTATTTCTTTACAAGGTAGAGGAAGGGCAAGCTTCAGGCAGTAAATTACAAGTGGAAGGGACACTATGAACCACAGTGATTGCCCTGGGAATTAGCTGAGGCTGAGGGTGATTTGTGGGGCCACGTTCCCCCAGCCTGTTTTCTCTGTGCGTGCCAAGGGAATGAATAAATCATTGTTCAGGGGCGGGATGCAGCTGCCAGCTCCTCCCCTCGGCACATGCCCGGACTCCAGCTCCTCCATTGAGGACCGCTGGAGCAGAGCAGTTTATACACCCAGCTTCCCAAATCCCATTGATCCTCCCCCTTCTGCACGAGCCACCGGCTCCAAGCTCATTCAGCTTGTCCCTTTGTGCTGGGGGTTAAGTGGTTACATGTGGGGGGCACCCAGAAAGGACCTGTCAGGCCCTGAATGACTGTGCTGATGCGGTGCCCTCCTACTGATGAATGGGGTGGGTGGAAGAGAGGTGGGCGGCCAGAGGGTAAGGTGGGAGAGGGATTATGGAGCCCTCAGAGGCAGCTGCTAGGAAGGGGTTAGACGCACACCCCTTTCATTCTTCTTGCATTCAGCTTGTTTATTTAGCTCAGGACCAACAGCTTCCCAACCTGGGAGCTTGTCTCTAGCTAGAAGAAAATTGGGAGAGGTCATTTACCTCTCCGGTACCTTACAAAGAAAGAATGCACACAAACCTCTAACAGCTCCAGAAAACCTTTGTTCCCATTTTCCCCTTAGCTGGGAGGAGGACTGAAAAATGAGTTCTTTTCTAGTTTTTCTGGTGCAGAGGATTTGGAACTGTGTTCCACCAGCTTTAAAACCTACCTCAGTACTCCAGGTTTAGCTCAGAAGCCTTTTAGAGTGGAGGAGTCAGGAAAAAGAGAAAAATCTCAAACTGAGTGTATTGCAAAGATTTTCACTGAAGGAAAAACGGTGATTCCAGGGCTGAGAATATAGCTCAGTGGTAGAGGGCCTGCCTAGCATGTAAGAGGGTCAGGTTCTATCCCCCAGTTACCTCCCCTCCACATACATATACAAGAGAGGCTGATTCCAAGGCTAAAACAAAACAAAGCTTTAAAACTGGATTGGAAGTGCCTCACCCTCATTTCAAGCTGAGCTAAGAAAACAGTTGTGTTGAGGGTGAGGGAATGGCCACCTTTTACCTAGATGGACACAGTCATTTCCTGTTAGACTGGAGCAGCACTTCACCTTTAAGAGGATGGATGAACAAAACAGCTAGGTCACCAGCTTCCTAGGCCTTTTCTCTCCAGAGATGAGCCAATTCTGGGGAGCAATCTTCTAATCTGCCTTTAGGGCTCTCTGGTGTGTCGGAGATCCTTTTGTGCCTGGCCTTGGAGCCCAAGTAACAATGTTCAAAGTTATAATATTATTCAACAGCTTTCAAGGAACATTATCCTTATTTAGCTCAGAGGAGTTAAAATTATTTGATTTCCTTAAGGTCCCAGAGCACTTTGGGAAAGCTGACAGGTGATGTGAGCTCAGGAAAAGTGAGGAAAGCTGGCAGCCATGTAGCCTGTCTCTGGGACTAGAGTGTTCTGGTGTGGAAACTTGGGGTTTCCCCTGTTAATTCCCTGTTGCCCACAGGATGAAGTCCAACCATCTTTGAAACCCTTGCCCAACTGGCCAACTTTGTACTCTAGCTGTTTTCCTGTTCCCTCCTAAGCCCCAGTCATCACACTGGCCTGTGCTGTTTCTGAGCACAGAGTATGCAGTCTCCTAAGCCTTCTGCTTTCCCTTGCTGAACTATTTACCCCTCACAGCTGGAAGACCAGGTCCAGGTCCCAGTCTCTGTCTCCTCCTTGTCCTTCTTTCCTTTCTTCCTTGATGGATTGGGGATTGAACCCAGAGCCTCACACTGGCCCGGCAAGGGTTCTAGTACTAAACCACATCCCCACTCCCTAGGACTGATGAGTTCACAGTACTTGGCATAAAGTAAGCACTTTGTAACTATGTGCTGCATGTGAATGAATGGATGGGAAGGAGCCAGATCTTTTTCTTTCTGAGACAGGGTCTTGCTCTGTAATTCAGGGTGGCCTTGAACTTACTATATAGCCCAGGCAGGCCTTGAACTTGTGGTAATCCTCCTGCCTCAACCTGCCTCAAGTGCTGGGATTACATGTACCATTTTGCCTGGCAAGAGCAAGATTTTTGAGGTTGGGGCCAAGGATTTAGCTCAGCTAAATCCTGCCTGCAAGTAAGTGCCTGCCTGCAAGCACCAGGTTGTGAATTCAATGCCTGGAAACACCCCCCCCCCCCCCCCGCCGCCGCCGCAAAAAAAAAAAAAAAAAAAAAAAAAAAAAGATTTTTGAGGTTGAAACACATGTTGTTAGCCATCACTTTCTTTCCAAAAGTATTGACATAGAGAAATTTTCCACCTGTAAAGGAACTCTCATACCTGCCCTACTTCTTGTAGTAGAAATTTCTGTCATCTTCCCTTGTCTCCTTGCCTGACATCCCAGGCCCTGAGGCCTGGATCTGGCTACTTGCTGCTAGCCACCTTAGCTCTGACATGGTTTCTGCCAGTGTCCTTGTTCACTGCCCGAAGCTTCATGATCATGGCCTGAATGGCAACAGACCCTGTTCAGGTTGCCATTAGTCATCTAGTGATTTCCATGGCTCTGCAGATTAAATCAGTGGCATATGTAGAGGGTGGACAGAGCCACAGATATCCCTGCACGTGAGGTGACTGATTCCCTGAGGTCCTGACTGGAGAAGCTGCCAGTGAATGAATCATAGGTGTCCCAACATCTACTTTTTTGTCTTCACGTAGACATAGACACCCTGCCTTCTCAGTTACTTTGTTCTCCAGGCTTCCAATTCTCTGAAAATGATGGAATAGCCAGAAACACAGATTGTATTAATTACGTGGTGCTGGAGTATCTGCCCCTGAGTTATCAGGTAGTCTGTTATTTGGAAGCAACTAGCTTTATGGAACAATGCAAATGATGACTCAACTATGCCAGACATAGTTGATATGCTGGCAGAGTGCAACACAGACTGTAAAGAAAAAAAAAAAAAAAAATATATATATATATATATATATATATCCCACTCAAGACACTCATAAATGTTCCCCCTCGATTTGAGGACATGTTCTTGGCCATCATTCTTGGCAGTATGTGTTTAATTGTAATAAATTTCATTTTAATTTGAACACTCACTGTATTTTTTGATCACCCCAGTATATAAGATGTTGGCGTAATTAATGTGCTGTTTAGTCTTCCCAGCCCTTATACATTTACCCTAAGGAGGAAGGGAGTGACAGTAAACAGAACTCAAGAGAATCCACTGGTGTTTAAAACCTAAGACCCTTTTTTACCTAGTTCCTGTTCACCTGGGCAAATGGCACAAGTGTCCATTCTCTGCCCTGCGGCAGGAAAAAAACCACCATTGCTCAGTGAGTAGTATTATCCCAGTGGATCACAGATCGGATTATTTATCTTCACTCAAAACACAGCTTTCAGCCTGGTGTAATCCCAGCACTCTGGGGAGCTGAGGCAGGATGGAAAATTGGACCCCAGCCTAGGCAATTCAGCGACTTATCAAGACACTGTCTCAAAATAAAAAATAAAAAGAGGTCTGGGAAATGTAGCTCAGTGCAAATGCCCTGGGTTCAATACTCCAGTACCACAAAAACAAAAATGAAACACACAAAACAACCTCCTCTCCAAAACAAAAAACAAACAAACAAAAAAAGGCTTTTATTTAATGAGATTAATAAAAAGAAAAAAAAAAGCACAATTTGAATATATAGTTCCAAATTGGGATAGATGCCACGAGGAAAAGCGTGTTGGACGCCCGGCTGAGGGGAGGCCGGTGAAGGACGGAGCTGGGCCCGCGGACGAGCGCAGGGGGCGAGCGAGCGCGCAGACGCCGCTTCCCCTGCAGCGAGCGCAGGAAGCGGTGACATCAGAGTTTGCAGATCTCCCCGGTCGCCCCGAGGCGGCCCGACCGCTCCGACTGGCCCGGAGCCGGGTCCGGGAGCCCGAGCCCGACCTGGAAGGCCAGGGCGGAGCTCCGGGCCGGGGGCGGCGGCCTCGCGCGGAGAACGAGCCGGCCCACGTGGGCCAGGCCGCCCCGCCCCGCCGCGCAGACGCCGCCGGCGGACTCCGCAGTCGGGGCGGGGCCGGGCGCCAGCGCGGGGAGCTTGCGCCCAGCGGGGCCGCCGAGACCGCAGGCCCGGGGCCTCCCAGCCGCAGTGAGCAGCTCCCGGCGAGCGGCCCGCAGGAGCGGGCGCCTGTAGGCAGTGAGTCCGGGCCGAGGTGGCGGGCTGGGGGCCCGGGCCGGGAGCGGGCGCGGGAGTTGCAGCCTCCGCCTCGCTCCCTTCTTGGGGGGGCCGGGGACGGAAGGTCGCGGTCTTGGTCTTCTGGGGTGCTCCTCCTGGCCTGCACCGCGTGGAAGGGAGGCCGCCATGGATTAACTGGGGCGGGGGTCCTGCGTCTGGACTGTCCAGGTACCTGTTTACAGCAGAGAACCTCTGGTCCTTAGCGCTACCCCACCACACCCCAGCCTCTTTCGTGGCTCCGCCCAAGTTTAGGAAAAATTGGTGGTGGTGGTGGTGGGGGGATCTCCAGGTACCTCCCTCCCCTACAAGCCGACGCGATGAGGGTGCGCAGGTTACAGAGACTGATGCTGCTTCAGTTCCTACAGGCCCTCTGCCTGTTGCTGCAGTGGAGAGGACCTCGCGACCTACCGCAGACCTGCTGCACTCACAAGTATCCCTCCCTCTTAATGAGCCTCAGTTCTTCAAATCCTAGCGCTGTGTGGACCGTGGAAACCTCTGTTCAAACCCTCGATTTGGTAGGAGCTGTCCAGAGGGAAAGAAGTGTGGTATACCTTCCTCCAAGGTCATAAGGGTGGAGTCCACAAGCAAGAGAGGGACCCCAGACAGGCACACTAGGAGGGAGGGGCAAGATCCGAAAAGAGGTTTGTCAGCAGATCCACAGAATCTGGGGATCCACAGAACAGAGGAGGAGACTGAAACGGGCTCCTCCAGCCCTGGGCCAGCATCTGTAGGCTTCTGCTACCCTTGGCATCATCCGCCTGAGCACAGAAATCTCCTGCAGTGCCCTTCCTCATTCACTTGCCTAGCAAATACATGCTGACACCTGTTTATGCCAGGCTCTGCGCTGGCTCCTAGGAATATGCTTGAGAATGTATAAAAGAGTTTCACATCTAGACAGGGATTCAGATTATAAACTCACTCTACGATTGTTCAACCGAACAGGAACAGTTCCAGTTGAATAGACCATTACTGGCCATCAACTGCATGCAGGAATAGAAAACAAACCTGAGTAAGACAGTGTGTACCCAGGGCAGGAGGACCCTGTATAACTGTGTTTGTGTATATTGGGGCCATGGGGAGATGATCAGGAGATGATTCAGAGAAGTGGGGATATTAGAACTGAGTTTGGGAGTGCAAAAAGAAGGGAAAGGAAGAGCTTAAAGGAAGGGGCAGGATATTGGAAGCTAAAGGAATGGTATAAGAATAATGGTGTGTTCTGGGGGCTGGGGATTAAAAAAAAAAGAATAATGGTGTGTTTTGAGATCTCTGAACAGTGAAGTGGTGACAGAGGGATTGTGTGAGGAAGTAGAGAGAGGCACACAGGGCCAGATCAAGTAGGGTTTAGTAGGCCATGTAGAGGCTTGTTTTCTTTTTTCTTTTTATTGATACCAGGGATCAAACTCACGACCACACACTTGAAAGGCAGGCACTTATGCCATTGAGCTAAATCGCCAGCCCCTTCTTTTCTTTTCTTTTCTTTTTTTTTTTTTTTTTGTGTGTGTGTATGTGTTGAGAGGGTTATTGGAGAGTAAGCACTGGGAACACTGAGGTATATCTCAGTGTTAGTTTTATGCCTCAGCCCCCAAGTCTTTGAGATTATAGGTGTCTATCATTGCATCTGGCTTCATGTGGAGGCTTAATAGTTTGGGTCAGCAGTCAGAGCTGTGACAAATGAAATTTATACTTTAACTGAACGTAGATTAGTGAGAAGGCTGTGGCAGTAAGGTAACAAATAGTCTGAATCATGTGAAAGGAAAGGAAAAACAGTTAGAATTTGGTGACCAATCAGATGGGGCAAGAAAGGAGAGGGAGTAGTCCAGAATGCTCCTGGGCATCTGATGGAATAGAGAGCGGAGGCCTCGTGCTGAGGACGTTGAAGCAGGAGAGCTAGTTTGGACGTGTAGAATTTGAGGAGTCTACAACTAGTTTCAGGGTTGGACAACAGTTAGATCTGGGCTAAAGACAGATCTGAGTCACCAACATATGGTTCCTAAAGCTACAGTAGAGAATGAAGTCATCTGGGGACAAGTTTGTGGAATGAGAACACAGCCTGCCTGAGAAGAAAAACCCAATGCAGGAGACAGAGTGAATGGTCAGAAAAGAGGAGGAGCATAAAGGGAAGATTTCCCAGGATCAGAAAAGAGACTGACCCACCGCTAGGTTATCACAGCTTCAGGCCACTCCACCTTGTCTCGCTGTGACTCATTCTTTGGCTTCCCCTTCACAGGGCAGATGTTTGCCATCCAGCCAGGGCTGCCTGAGGGAAGCCAGTTTGCTGGAGCCATGTCTCCTGGAGTGTGTCAACCTGAACTCCAACCAGACAGCAACTCTAACTTCATGGAAAGAGCCAAGGATGCCAATGAGAACTGGCGTGGGATGCCAGGCAAAGTGGAACCCATCCTGAATAGGAGCACGTCTGAATTGTTCTCTGACAACCAGGCCTTCCAGGCCTCCGGACTCCCTGAGGGGGCAGTCCGCAGCCCCCCAGAGGGCGCAGAAATTCTTGGTGCTGAGCCTGAGAAGAATGATGATACCGTCACTGTCTGCTCCCCTCTAGAGGACAATGGCTATGCCAGCAGCTCCCTGAGCGTCGGCAGCACTAGCAGCAGTCCTGAGCCTGCCTGTGGGAGGCCTCGAGGTCCTGGCCCTCCTCCACATCCTCTTCTGCCCTCAGTGGCCCAGGCTGTGCAGCAGCTGCAGGCACAGGAGCGCTACAAAGAGCAGGAGAAAGAGAAGCACCATGTGCATTTGGTGATGTACCGTCGCCTGGCACTACTCCAGTGGATTCGGGGCCTGCAGCATCAGTTGGTTGACCAGCAGGCCCGTCTGCAGGATAGCTTTGACACCATCCTAGATAACCGGAAGGAGCTTATCCGCTATCTCCAGCAGAGGGCAGCACCATCCAGGCCCCCAAACCAGGACTGAGTGTGCTTCCACCAAAGTGCAAGGGTGTACATGTGTTTCTGCAGGTGTGTGTGGCTGTACATAGATATGCACATGACTATTTGTTGGCAGGAGTGTATTAATGTAAGCAGGTATGTGCAGGCACATGTATGTGAACTTGCATATCCTGTGTATGCCTGTGTACCTACAAACTAATTTATATGTATGAGTGTGTAAGAATGAATGTATGTATGTAAGCTTTAGTAAATTTGTGCATGCATGTATGGACAGGTACCAGGGAATGTATTTATATGTGTATGAGTGAGGATGTACATGCAAAAGATATGTGTACAGGCAAGTGATGGATATATGTGAGTGAACCTTGTGTGGTCAGGGCTGGGTGTAGGGATGCATGTGTACAGAAGCAGGCATGGGCTAGCATATGATGGGAGCATGTGGATTTGCAGGCAGACTGACTTGCACCAAAGAGGCATCTATCCATACCTGTTAACCACGGTCTACCTAGCCCTTTTTCTGCCCTGTGTCCCTCTGCTCTCTGGAGAGAAAGGGAGCTCTGCTGTTGTCTTTTATTGGAGGGTTGTAGCCGATCCATTCTCCTACATTATTCCAGGGCACCTTTTCTTCTACCTTTCCCTTTTTTATCCCAGATCTTGCTCTGCTAAAGCCGTTGTCTCTCTCTGATGTTGGCTTTGCTAAAAGTGGTTTCCTGGCTGCTCTGGCCTGCTATGCATTTGGGCCGCAGTTCTGTTAGGGCAGTAAGTGGAAAATTGGTACCAGAGAGGGAGCTGGCAGGGGGTGGCAGAGCTCATGGCAGTGTGGGTACGGGCATTGAGGTGGAGTTAAGATGTTATGCTCCTTTTCAGCTTTGCCTTTGGTGACATGGGAAGTGAGGATGAGGAAGATAAAAATGGTAGGAACCTGTGAGAAATAGGGTGGAAATCCCAGAATACCAAGTAGACCATACCTCTCGACTGGGAAAAGTTGTTGAAAACCATATTAATTTAAGCTTCTGATGAAAAGGGATATGTGCTTGCAAGTTACAGATGAGGTGTTCCAAGGCTACCTGGCTTTAACAACATTGAATGTCCAGCAGTTTGGTCCAATTGGCTTGGTCCATTTTCTGCAGTGGGGTGAGGGCAGTGTCAGCCCGGCCTGTAGAAGCTCCTAGGCTGCTCTTCTGTCATCGCATGGACCTTTAAACGGGAACTGACCAGACTGACAGGACTCCGTGACTTTGAGAGCAGAAGGGTCTTGAAGAGAAACAAGAAGTCAGGTTGTGCAGCTCTCTGCTTTGCTTCCAAGAGCCAAAGGAGTGCAGGATACTGGAGGGCAGGTGGTGGCATGAAGAGGTATGCTCTAGGGCTGGGGATTTAGCTCAGTGGCATAAGCACCTGCCTGGCAAGCACAAGGTTGTGAGTTCTTAGGTGAATGATGGCATGGAAATCACTGATGCTGCCTCTGGCCCTCAGCCTCCTTGTCTTCTCTATCTCTGAAGCGTTTCATGCATGTTGAATGACTGAGTGAAAGGTATAGGGAATGGAGAAAGCGTGGGCCCTGGGGATTTCTTTGTACAGTTCTTGCATGATTAATGTGAACCTGGCCTCTGGACCAACTCTGGATAAATAAACCGAGGCAGAAAATTAAATTTCTTGAGTATGTGTTACTTCTTCATTTGTTGTGTGGCCTTTTGTACTTTGTTTGAGCTCCCCTTTTGAACAGAGTCCTTGGCTGGAGACCAAGGGGTGGAACTGGGGAAAACATTGAAGAAGAATTCAGACTCCTGTGTCTGGCGATTTCAGGGGCCTCCTTGTCAGAAAGGGGAGACTTGCTCTCTGCCCTGAGAACCCCATTTGGGATTGTCCTAGTTCTAAGTCACCTTTGGACCTGAATGGATTGTGAAGGGCACAGACCATATACATGCCCACAAACTGATGCTGCTCAGAGCTAGCAGTGCCCTGAGAGTGTCTTGACTACAAAAGACTGAGTAGGGTCCTTACGTGGCACTGATGTAGATATAGTTTTATTTGAAGTTCTAGAACTGAACCCAGAGCATTGCGTATGCTAAGCAAATGCTCCACCTTGAGGTACACCCTTAGTCCCCAAATGTAGCTATAATACGCATACATGATTTCCGATATTTCTTGATGCCAACTTAGTGTACATCTTCTAATTTATTAATTTCTCAAAAATCCAGAGGCTAGAGATGTTAACTCTGTGGTAGAGCACTTACTTATCCTAGGCAAGGCCCTGGGTTCAATCCTCAGAGGGGGAAAAGTCACTTCTTTTTCTGGGCTAGAAAAGCTTCTAAATATGAAATATCCCAAGTCCAGAGCTCAGGCCTCCAGCTCTCCTGGGTCCACCATGCCCATCCTAGCCTCCTCTTTCCTCCCCAAATGTCATTAGTTAATAATCTGCTGCACAACACATTAAACTGTAATGGTTTAAGTCTGTACATATTTGTGATCTTGCATTTCTGTAGGTCAGAAATCTGAGCACAGCTTAGCTGAGTCCTCTGTGTCACAGTCTCTATTGGGGTGTCTTGATCAAGATCCCAGGGTCTGGGATCTCATTTGCTGGTAGCAGTGAGTAGTCAGGCTCAGTTCCTCCGTGGGGCTCTTCCAATATGCAGCTTGTTTTATCATAGTATGCAAAACAAGAAAGCAAAGTGCTTGCAAGACACAGGGCATGATTTCCTGCAACTTAACTGTAGAAATGCCATCCAATCAATGTTGCCATAACCTGTATTTTGACTCAAGCCATTTGATGGGAGAATGTTACTTCAGGCTGCAAATACCAGAAGCTGGGAATCATTGAGGGCTATCTTAGAGGCTGCCTACCCTACAAGGTATATTGTGATGGGTTAAATAAAGGTACATTTAGGGCTGGGGATATATTCAGTGGCACAGTGTCTGCCTGGCAAGCGCAAGGTCCTGAGTTTGATTCCTATTTTTTTTTTTTTTGTTTTGTTTTTTTCCTTTTTATCGGTACCGGGGATTGAACTCACGACTGCCTGCTTGCAAGGCAGGCGCTTATGCAGCTGAACTAAATCCCCAACTCTGATTCCTATTTCAAAAAACAAAGGCACACTTTATTAAGTAATGTAAATAAATTTATTCTACTTTAAAAGTTTGAAACATTTCAAAGAAATCTATCTTTTTTTTTCTTTTTTTTTGACAGCGTTTTGCTCTGAGTTTAGGCTACCCTTGAGCCGACTATGTAGTCCACGTTGGCCTCAAACTCATGGTAATCCTCCTGCTTCAGCCTCCTGAGTACTGGGATTGCAGTCATGCATCAGTGTGCCTGGCCTAAATGTCCTCTTTTGCCTCCTCCAGTAAAACATTTATTTTAAACTTCACAAAGTGTACCATACTCAGGACATTAATAATTATTGTCCTCCTATAGTTGGTACATACATTGTTACAATATTGAACCAATTTTAACAAATTCCACCTACTGATGTGGGTGGTGGCACACAATTGTAGTCCCAGCATTCATGAGTTTGGGCCAGGAGGGTCACTGGGAGTTGGAGGTCAACGTGGGTTAGCTACATGGTGAGTTCAAAGCTGCTTGTGCTACATAATGAGACCCTATCTCAAAACCAATACTAAAAAACAGATTCCCCTTATTAAGAGGTACTCTGACAAAAGTGGATAGCTAAATTTGAATAAGAATCTACAACAGGACTGGGGATTTAGCTCACTGGCATAAGCACTTGCCTTGCAAGTGTGTGGTTGTGAGTTTGATCCCCGGTACCAACAACAACAAAAAAATCTACAACGAGATGATTGCAGACCCTAAGTGCACAAGAGGGTGAACTTTTGTTTTTTCTTTTTAATTTTTTTTGGTACCAGGGATCAAACTCACAACCTCGCGCTTGCCAGGCAGGTGCTTATGCCACTAAGCTAAATCCCTGGCCAAGAGGGTGAACTTTTCAAAGGAGTGTGAATTCCCTGGTCTCTGAAGCCAGACCCCCTGGATTTGGAAAGCTCCATTGCTTTCTGTTTTCTGGACAAGTCAATTAGTTTTCCTCTCCCTCAGTTCCCCATCCTCACAGGGTTGTTGCAAGGATAAAATGAATGTATAAAGTGTAAAATACTAATACTACCCCTGACACATAGTGAACTACATTAATGAGACTTACAAAGGTTTTGTGGTGCACACCTGTGTGTGTGTGAGGTACAGGGATTGAACCCGGGGCCTTCCCACTGAGCTACATCTCCAGCTATTTATTTTTTTTTTATTTTGAGATAAGATCTTGCCAAATTGCTAAGTCTCCCAAGCTGGCTTCAAACTTGTGATCATTCTGCCTTGGCTTCCTAGAGTGCTTCCACCCAAGTATGTGCTACCACACTCAGCCCTTAGAAAAAAATCAAAATTTTTCTTAAGGTATTAGAATCTAAAATTTGAAAAGCAGCTGTGTGGGGTGGCACACACCTGCAATTTCAGAGCTCAGCAGGCGGAGGCAGGAGACCTGCAGAGAGTTCCAGGCCAGCCTGGGCTACAGAGTGAGTTCAAAGCCCGCCTGAACTGCACAGCAAGACCCTGTCTCAACAAAAACAAAATTTGAAAGTTATCCTTTAAAAAATACAATTTTTAAAAAGCAAAGTTGCCTAGCGCTGGGGGTGTAGGTCAGTGGTAGAGTGTTCACCTAACATATAGGAGGCCCTGGGTTCAACTTTCAACACTGAGAAAAACATTTTGTTAAGCTGCCTCATATTCCTTTCCATGAAAGAGCTCCCTGAGCTGAGAAAAAGAGAAGGCCCAGACCAAAGAAACAGCTGGTGCACTGTATATCTACAGAATCCCTGCTGCTCACTTTGAGCCTGGAACAGGCTCAGGCTCTAGAGTGGTGGTGGGTTGGAAAAAAGACTGGCAAGACTAGAGAGCCACAGCCAGGACAGCAGAGTTTTGCAGCAGGGAAACTGAGGCAGGGTGCCAAAGCTGAGTCAACTTGCCATCTGGGCTGCAGTTCCCCATCAGGTAAACTGGTCACTGGCTATGAGACAGGCCGAGGTACTGCACCTCCTGTGAGGGCGCAGGCCTTGTTTAGATACAGTTTCCTCACCTGTGGCAGCTTTAAGGTCTCCTCCCAAATTGCAAACAGACCTAAAGATGCTCTGTCTACTTTAAAAGTCTACTGAGCTCCTCCTCTGTGCCAGATCCTGAGGCACCCATTCCTGTCTATGCATCTCTGGTCCGCAAGACTAGATGACCAAAACGATGCATCCAAAAGCCTAATGCATAAGGGCCTAAGAGCCCAGCAAGCAGAGAAGTCAGCATTCTGTGCAGGTTACAGTCTGAGACTTCAGTCATCTGGAAGCTTGTTTCAGAGTCATCAGGGTGGGGATTTCTGAGCACCCAGGACAGTGAAGGGAGTAGGTAGGATTCATATTCTTGGGAGAGGTTTGGCCAGTTACCTACACCACCCCTTTACTTCTCCAACCAAAATGAAACCCTATGTCCGGGGGCAAGTCTAACCAGGGCTTGGCAGTACAGAAGTCTTGCTTAAAAAGAATGAAGGGGGCTGGGGATTTAGCTCAGCGGCATAAGCGCCTGCCTTGCAAGCAGGCAGTCGTGAGTTCGATCCCTGGTACCGGTAAAAAGGAAAAAGCCAAAAAAAAAGAGAATGAAGTCTGAGATCAGAGCTGAGACCCACAGAACCAACAGGGGCAGTAAACATAACTGAGGTCTGAGCAGGCCACAGGCACAGGACTGGGAGGGACTAGCAAGGAAGTAGTGAAAGGCTGGGGACCTATGGAGAGAGAAGGGCTGGACTCCTTGAGACCTTTCTCTCTAAGCAGCCACCCAACTAGTCAGTCCCAGGAAGTATGGTCAGGGAGAATAGGGTTAAAGCCTGCAGTGCAGGGAGGTGGGAAATGAACCAGGACTGAGGAATAGAGCAAAGACTTAGGAGAGATAAAAATGCTTCAGACTATGGTAGGTGGGCTGCTCAACCCAAGTCTGGCACATCAGGGGTCTGTGTATCTTTAAGGTGATTAATTGCCCACTGGAGGCAGCCTGTGACCTGTCTACCTGTCACTCTCCAATCCTCACTCAAAACCCAGTGTTGGTGCCTCCTAGTTTACAACTGGTGACAGAAACAGGAGAGGAGCTAGATCTGTGGCATGGTCAAGGAAGGCTTCCTGGAGGAAGAAGACCCTGGAGAACCAGTAGAACTTGAGGCAGCAGAGCATAGTGACTTCTAATGCATATTGGACCCAGATATCTTGGTCCCTAGCTTTACTACCTGTGACTCACTTTTCTCAACTGTAAAATGGGGCAATAATAGTACAACTCTCATGGGGTTATGTACAGTTAAGTGAACCTAGAGGGCTTAGACCAAAGCCGGGCATATAGGAAGCAGCCCATAAGTGTCAGCTACTATTACCTGACAGGAGAGGACAGGTAGGCTGTCAGAGGTCAGAGATGCAGCTGAGCCCTTATGCTGTGCATTGAAAAGCTTGGTTGCAGGGCCTCACACCCTAGAATCGTGAGCTTACTGAATGTTGGTGGTGAGAAGAGCAGACGGAGATGGAGATGTTCTGGAATCTGAGTTATACCTTGAATCCACTCTGGAAAACATGCCCACACCTACCAGGCACCTACAGATACTCAGGCACCAGACTCCACACATGTGCACGCGCA